TGCTGCCACAGCACTGGAGGACTTGGATCAGCCAAGGGAGGATGTGGCAGTGCCCGAACAAGAGCCTGAGGCTGCAGTCTTGCCACCTAGAGCCATGTGCCACCTTTGCAGATGGGAGCAGCAGATTGACGTGGCCAGAGAGAGCACACATTTGCAATCCCATCATTCCTGCAAGGTGAGCAAGTGTCATGAGTGAACATGCCACACCTTGTCTTTAAAAGCTTGGCAGGTACGGCAAGGAAGCCTGTTGGGACATCTTCTTTACTTCTAGCCAGTTGCAATCTTAACCTGCTCATGAACCATGACTTGTGAGCCTTGTATCTGCTGCTGAGTCTGTACCATTACATACTTTACTTCCAAGTCAGAATCTCTCTCCGCATGTGTCGGGCAGAAACCTGGACACAATGAATGTTTTTTATATAAGCATGTACCTTAAGCAAACCTTGCTTTATTTTTATAGTCATTTTCGGTATATAATGACAGAATGCAGCACAGAAAAAAAATGAGTGCAAAAGTTGAAGAATCTATGTCTGCTTGCCCTAATCACAACATGCAAGATAGGGATTGCATTTCCAACATTTGCAAAGACTGTTTTGCTATCTCCCCCTAGTGGGAAAAAAATAAGCATGGCAATTTACGTCGAGACAAAAGTAAAAATGTTTCGCCACAAACAAAGGTTGTGTATTCTTTTTATAGATACATTAAAATATCCAAGGCACATCTGAATTAAGCCATCAAATTGCCAGATTCAGAAAGCTCAACAAGGAAGAGGAACACTTAATATATTGAGCATATACATGAATGATTCACACGCGGAATGCTCATATCTCATGTGCATGTGTGCTCCTGCACCACACAAAGAGGATATGTGGACAAGAGAAGAGTGTTAGCCAATCAACTGAAATTGGTAGGAATGTAGGTATATGTGTTTATGGAACAGCAGCAGCTATGCATTGCTAGCCTCATTGGAAATAAAAGGAGAATTATGTTGTTAGTGACTTGTTCCCAATAATGGAAACTGCCTTTAAAAAGAGATCAGTCACCCAACAGAGCTCTTCGTTGGCATCCATCTGCCTCAAGAGACAATGGAGTGTGCCTCCGGGGGTGAAGTCAAACTACTGCATTAGCAGAACCAAAGTGACCTCCCCAGGATGCAAGTCTAGGCAGTGTGATTGGGCTACCCAGACAAGACCACCACCCTCCGTCAGCCTCACTGATGTGGCCCAAAGGAAAACAGAGTGATACGTTTGGCACCAGCTTGGCTGCAGGAGTTGCCAGAAGGAGGCGCCATCCAACTGCCTTAGGGACTCTACTCCCAATTTGTGTAGGGTTTTACTCCTTAGACTTTTCTTCTCCCGAAGATGTCCCACAAGGCAGTGGAGGTTTGAATCAGAGTTTTCCTTCTCCTTCCCAAACTGACAAGCCCCGTCTGCCCCTCACTTCCCTCCACAGCACATGCAGAAACAGCATTCTTGACCATTGGACCCACTATGGGTCTCGTCCGCTCATTCCGCCAGAGCCTGTCTTCTGATGCAGGGGAAGTCCCTAACTCACTAAGGGCTTGAAGCCCATCGGCTACCCTCACCTGGTTTAGCCAGTCAGGTGAAGCCGTTTCCCAGGGTGTGGCCACTATTGCATGTTGACAGCTTCTAGGAGCCACCCACAATTCAGAACGGACAACACGCGAAAAGGCCTATGACACACTTGAGAACCATGGACACAGCAGCAAGACATGTTCAACAGGAACAGAAACATCACAAGACAAACACCTGTGTCTTCCCCCTAAGTACATACTGATGGGTAGGAACTCCACACCCAACTGATAAATTGAGACAGCAAAGCATCCTTTCTTCGGTTCTTAAGCAACATATCCCATTGAGAGGGAGAAAAGGTCCACACCTCCAATAAAATGTGCTATCCAAGCATTCTCTGACAACTGTGACTTTCAACAGGTATGCATTTTAATGCTATGAGAGAATCTGGAAAAACTGATGTACTTATGCCAGAAGCATGAGGAAGAGAAAGGATTTGGTTGCATTACAGTGGTACCTCGGGTTACATACATTTCAGGTTACAGGCGCTTCAGGTTACAGACTCCGCTAACCCAGAAATAGTGCTTCAGGTTAAGAACTTTGCTTCAGGATGAGAACAGAAATCGTGCTCTGTCGGCGTGGCAGCAGCAGGAGGCCCCATTAGCTAAAGTGGTGCTTCAGGTTAAGAACAGTTTCAGGTTAAGTACAGACCTCCGGAACGAATTAAGTACTTAACCCGAGGTACCACTGTAATTTCAAAGGTGATATCCAATTGCAGCAGTCCATTACTGCCACAGCCATTCTGCAAGCGGGGGACCTTGTTCTTAACATAATGCAATAGCCAAATTCAAAAGCTGTGTTGCCCTTGGGAAAGATGCCGAGCAACACCAAGCGCAACTGCTGTTATTGCACTCAGCAACACTCCTGTTCTGCAGCTGCCAGCGCAACAGCTATTGTTATGCCTGTGCAACGTCAGCTCTCAAAATTATTGTGCTGAATTATGTTCAATCTCACCCCAAAGCACCAAGTCTGCTTTGAAGACTATTCTTAAAATATATTTATAGAAACCTAACATTCAACAGATATCAGCAAGGTGGGTTCTATGCTCAAGGTGTAAACATTAACATAGATAAAGCACATACACCGTGCAACTGAGGCACACAGAGTACGCAAGACCAACCTTTTCACCATGTGTGCAATTTACCAGTGGAATTCACTGGCACGCAATGAGTATAACTATGGATAACTGTGCTGAAGCAACGGCTGCAAAATTAACGGCAAACCAGACATCAAACGGAAATTGACAAAAACAGAAATGATCAACAAGGACTGGGGCAGTCTGCTAGTGTCACATGCTGTTAAATACTCTTGCTGAAATAGCAGGAACAGACAACTTCCTCTGAAAATGGAAATGGCTACACACCCATGAGAAACTCATCACTCTGAGTTTCTAATAATCCAATCGCTTTACAGCTAGGAGACCACCCCAACCTCAGACGCACAAGCTGATATCAATGTGGCCCCTAAGGAATGGCCTTCATCTTTTACTTCTTCCTTGGATGGCTCCCTCCTTCCTCAAGACCTTCACTTTCCATTAAAGGAGTTATCATCCTGAGAGTGGGGTGCATCCCCAAATCCCTCAATACACAGAACTCTCTTAAACTCTTAGCTTCTGCAGGTAAGCTACCTTGGCCAGAAGGTGCTCAACATGCCTGAGCTCTTGTGAAAATACAGTGGTACCTTGATTCTCAAACTTAATCCATTCTGAAACCGTTCGAAAACCAAGGCGTGGCTTCTGATTGGCTGCAGGAGGTTCCTGCAGTCAAGTGGAAGCCACGTCTGACATTCGGCTTCCAAAAAATGTTCGCAAACCAGAACACTTACTTCTGGGTTTAGGGCATTTGGAGCAGAAATGTACAAGTATGAAGGCGTTTGAGAACCAAGGTACGACAGTACAAATCAACCAAGTGGTAAAGTATGTGATAGGCAATAAAAAAAGGACTTAACCAGACCAGAAACTATACACAGTGGCATATTATGATCCAAGTAAATAGTTTTGTACAAAATGTTAGTGCCACTTCTCAAGAGTTAAGCAAATGAATTTAAGTCACAAATATCCAGAGCTCTCCATCACGCAAGAAAAATACTCTTGTTAGGAAAATGAAAACAAATTTCCATTGTTACCCATTTGAAAACACATTAGTAGGCTAACCTTCAGATTTACGTCGTCTTTTCCTTTTACAAAGTAAATGTCAACTGACTGCTGAAGTACAAACCTTGGTGGTCCCTGACTAGCTGAAGTACAAACCTTGAATTACGCTTTCATTAAAAGGAGATGCACAGCTTGTGTACCTTCCACCTGGCTCCGCTGCCGCTCTCAGCTCACACAAAGGAGGGGCACCCGCAAGCTCCGGGCAAAAAGCCTTTGTAGGGGGCCCTGCTGGGAGCTGTTACAAAGTACTCCATTAAGACATACTATTTAAGTCAATACATTGTGAACTACAAAAGCAAAAAATAAAAATAATAAGTACCTAACGAGAATGAGCCTGATATAGAGCCTTACCTCGAGAGGCTTGGAAGACTTCATAAAAGGAATAAAAATGAAAGCCGAAGGAAACGAACAGGTAAAGAGACAGCTCCCATGCCGGCAGCAGTCCTAATTGTAACGGCATTTTTCAGGGTTCCCAAAACCTAGGAGGACAACATCCTGGTAGATAGGGCCTGCAAAACAAGAAGATAATTTTATGAATTTTTAAAAGTAGATCCTGAGGAGTCTCCAGGACAGGGCAGAACAACAGTTCTATGTGGAAGATAATATTCATCCGAACTGTCAATCATGAGCAATGGCGACTGCATTATTATAGAAAAGTCCAGTTCAGGACCAAATGCACATAGAACATGACTTGCCAGTGTGGCACTCACAGCTGTGCATGTTGCCCTCAGAGGCCTTTCCAGGCACCCACAGAGTCCCATCCACCTACCCCTCCCGCTGCTGAAAGAAGCCTTCTTCAGCCTCGTTGAAGCATGGAGAATGATTTCAAGGGGAGCATGGTGTTACCAGCACATGATGGCCCTTCCCCTAAAGGAGAGAAGCCTGTTAGCATCTCTGCTGCTGTTTGCACCAGGGAAGATGGAGTTAGTGGGTTCTTTGCTTGTGTCTCAGGCCTTGCGGTCAGCATTGCAGGCAGGCACTTCAGCCATTGTTCACCATGAATAGAATCCTGCACTGAAAATTATTTTTAGGTCAGTGTTCTGTAGAACGAAGTAATGAATGGACAAGCAGAAAAATGTATCATTCTCAGCGTTGTTTTTCTAGGGAAAAGGTGCCAGAACTCACCATGAACACCTCCCTCTTGCAGTAGCAGCAAGTTCTGGCTAAAAAAGGGTCCTGATTCATTCCCATTTTATACCATCCCCACCCCCCTGGCAGGACACAAAGCTGAATGGATATGTTCCCATAAGCGATGGGCTGTAGCTCAGTGGGAGAGCACCTGCCTTGAATGCAAAAGGTCCCAGGTTCAATCCCCAGTATCTCCAGGTAAGGCTGGAGGGAAAGTCCCTTGCCTAAAACCCTGGAAAGCCACTGCCAGTCAGTATAGACCAGGAATGGCCAGGGATGATAGGAGTTGCAGTGCAGCAACATCTGGAGTAGACACTACTGAGCTAGATGAACCACCTATGTTATCCCTATGGGTAGTTTCTCTTCCAGGCACTGACCACCTCCAGGCCCAGCTAACTTCACCAAAGTTGCTACATGATACACCTTGAAACTATGTCATTGGAGTCAGGCCAACCATGACAAATTCTATCTGCTATTCTTAAAATCCATGGCTGCTTGGTTTACTACAGCTCTTGCGGGAGCAAGGAGGGGGCAGGTGATGTTCTTTCACCACACTGCTGCCCTGTGGCATTTTTGGGAAATGATGCAATGGGAAGGGGAAAGGCCATGGGGAGAGACTTTTTGTTGCTGTCCCAGCCTCCCCGTTTTCCTACAGGATTAGTTCACCTCCTCAGATATTCCCCAGAATGTTTCTGACCCATACAGATTGTTAGTTGTGGGACTGAGAAGTTAAACTGGACACCGACCGAAAATACTAATTTTATTTTATTTTTATGTCATCCCGGAAAGGTTTGCCAACTTTTCTGTTCAAACCATTCTGGAACCTCAAGTTGAGTAGCTCTGAGCATGTGCAGAGTGTCCTCCATCTATGGAAGGTATCTTCAACCATTACGGAACCAGGACCCACTTTTAACCTAAACATGCATGTGGGGACCCATCTGTTAATCTTTTGCCTTCTATTTGCCAGGTGGCAGTGCATCTTGGAGCAGCCTGCAATCCACTAGCGGGAGCTGACCCAACAGATAAGAAAAGCTACAAAAAGCTTTCTAAAAAGTGTACGTAACATCTTCAAACAGAACGAAGTGCTCCTCCTCAAAAAAAAAAATGGTGTTTTCGAAACCACATTGTAGAGGAATAGCTAAAAACACCAACCGCATGAATTCCTTTGGGATTGTTATCATTTTCTGACAACTAGGAATGAGAGTGAAATTCTGGCCAGTTGATAAACCTAATCTCAGATCCGTAACTCAGCAGGCACTCAGGAGCTTTATCAAACTTTTGCAAAGTACTGTACTACAGGAAAGTCCACTGTTTTTGGTTGCACAACAACCTTACAGCGCAAACTTAAGCCTCACTTGAGTTCAACGCTACTTATTCCCAGGTGAGTATGTAATATAATTGCGGCCCATAGCTGTCAACTTTTCCCTTTTCTTGCGAGGGAAACGTTGACAGCTATGTTGCGGCCCCACACGTTTATTTTAGCCGGGACTTTTGAGGCTCGCGCGCGCCTGCTCGGACCTCTAGGTGCTGAACTGTGCTTGCAGGACTCCTCTGCCCACGCCCAGAGGCAACATGTCCTTGCGCATCTTTGAGCGCGCAACCCTCCTGCGACCGTCAAGCGGAGCTCCGGGGCATGGCGCTTTCAGAGTCCCCTCCCGCTCCCAGGGTCCTCAGACAAAGTTTTCCGCGACAGGAATTTCCTTCCCGCTTGGGACGAGCATGCATTGGTCTTCTGCGCCCGGAGCGAGACGCTCCTCGACTTGCTCGGCTCCTCGGCGCCTCCCTCCCGCCCAGCTCCCGGCGCAGGAGGCGGACCTCCACTCCCCGCCTTGACGGTTGGTAGCAACGAGTGGCTCGCGGAGCTGCGCGGAACAAATCATAAGCACCGACCTGCGGCGGAGCGCGGCTCCATGCGCGGCCCCGGCGTCCCTCCCCGTTTCCGGCTCCGGCCCCGGCGAGGCGCGCACTCGCTCCGCCCCTTCTGCCGAGAGCGGCGGGGCGCGCGCGGTCTGGGCCCGGCGCGGGTGGCTTGCAACATTCAGGACCAGCTTGCGAGACCGTGGGGCTGTTTACTCGAGTGTAAGCCTCGCGGAGCGCAATAAGGTTGTTTGGTTTCCTTCCTTCCCTGCGCACAGATCAACTTTGGAATGGCGAAGCAAGCTGACCTTTTTTGCGAGCGTTTCTTTAGCAGGCTGGTGTGTTTTTTAATGAAACGGGGAAGAAGCTAAAAGCTGGCCGCAGCAAATTTATATTTTAAAAAAGGATCCTGCGAGATGCCCCTACAAGGCCAACATCAGATCACAGTTCAGGCGTTTTCCAGTGCCACCGTGGCACGAAAATAGGGATCTGCAGCTTGCACAGTTTTTGCATGGGAGCCTCCTGAAATGAGTGTCAAAAGCACACTTCTCATCTAGCCCGGTGGACTGGATCTTACAAATAGGGATCTGAATCTGATTTGATGGTGGTTTGGGTGGTGCCCTATGTAAACATGCACTTTCAGTAAGATCTCGTTTTATTTGCTGGAACCAGCTTTTGCCCATGTCCATAAAAGCTTGTTTTCTCTCTCTTCCATCCTTCCCCTGAAAAATCCCACACGCAGACGTCGCTCATCATCTAGCCCAATATTTTTTCGGTATATACAATCTCTTAAATAAAATAAATACATCAATTCTGAGAGAGGGGTGGTTTTGGTTTAAGAAGCACCACATTAAAATGTGAGGTGCAACTGTCCCCATCATTATTGACTTTCATGAGCAATTTTAAAACGTTCCTGTTTACCCAGTTATTTGATGACTGAAGAGCACTGTACCTGACAACCCTAAGATCACTGGATGAGAAAATGGTTTTGGAATGTTTTAACTCTTGGGAAAGCTTTTTAAAAAAATAAAATAATCATTTTGTTGTGGAAATGTTTGCTACCCTGGGTTCTTTTGGGAGGCAGGATGGGATATTAATTAAATAAATAGAAAAAGGTAAAGGGACCCCTGACCATTAGGTCCAGTCATGACCGACTTTGGGGTTGCGACGCTCATCTCACTTTATTGGCCGAGGGAGCCGGCGTACAGCTTCCAGGTCATGTGGCTAGCATGACTAAGCCACTTCTGGCGAACCAGAGCAGCACACGGAAACACCGTTTACCTTCCTGCCGGAGCGGTACCTATTTATCTACTTGCACTTTGACGTGCTTTCGAACTGCTAGGTTGGCAGGAGCAGGGACCGAGCAACGGGAGCTCACCCCGTTGTGGGGATTCAAACCGCCAACCTTCTGATCAGCAAGTCCTAGGCTCTGTGGTTTAACCCACAGCACCACCCGTGTCCCTCTTAAATAAATATAACATGCAATAAAAACAAAATTCTTCCCCATTCCTAGTGACCAAGCAGCTCAGGGTGTCTGAATCGGGAGGGGGGGGAGAGAGAGAGATGCAAGAGTTTCTTCCCTTCTTCTCTAACCCCACTGTGGGGACACCAGAACCTTAGCTGGGACAAACAAGCATACACTGACAAACATGAGGTGCCATTAGTTACCCTGGTATTTGTTTCAGTAAAATAGTACAACTGCTACAGCAGGGGTCAGCAAACTTTTTCAGCAGGGGGCTGGTCCAATGTCCCTCAGACCTTGTGGGGGGGGCAGACTATATTGGCGGGGGGGGGGGGGGATGAACCAATTCCTATGCCCCACAAATAACCCAGAGATGCATTTTTAATAAAAGGGCACATTCTACTCATGTAAGAACATGCTGATTCCCAGACTGTCTGCAGGCCGGATTGAGAAGGTGATTGGGCTGCATCCGGCCACTGGGTGTTAGTTTGCCTACCCATGTGCTACAGAGTCAGAACAGCCACCAAATGATATACAGTGGTACCTCAGGTTAAGTACTTAATTCGTTCCGGAGGTCCGTTCTTAACCTGAAACTGTTCTTAACCTGAAGCACCACTTTAGCTAATGAGGCCTCCTGCTGCGGGAGCACAATCTCTGTTCTTATCCTGAAGCAAAGTTGTTAACCTGAAGCACTATTTCTGGGTTAGCGGAGTCTGTAACTTTAACCGTATGTAACCTGAAGCGTATGTAACTCGAGGTACCACTGTACTTCTATTGTGCTGCATTATCCTTTACTTAGAAGAGGACGGCAGTTATTGAACAAGGAGCCCACTGGATGGCAGCAGACTACAACGAGTGTTATGTGCAAAAGTCCTGTTCTTTCCCAGATTAAGCAGCGCTGCTGTAATAACAGGGACACGCCGTCAGCTGATATGTTTGGGAAGGAATTGCTGGGAGGGAAAACCATGCATATTTATTATACTGATGTCAGCCACCATTCTGCTATAGGTAAAAAGGCACTGTCAAGTTAAGTAGGTCAGTACATTGATCAACCCTGACAGTGATCACATCTGGAAGAGCTTACTGTCTTGGTCTCTCAAGGTGGAATACGTCTTCCGTCTCTGCTCAGCCTGGGTTCGCCCCCACCCCCACCTCTGGAAGGAAGAGAAAACAAGTGACAAGTTCCCTGAAGCCTTCGTTTATTAGGCTACCTCCAAGTCAGTTTGCATACATCATGCCATGTCTGACACACACACACACACACACACACACACACACACACACACAAAAACACACACACACACACACACACACACACACACACACACACTTTTCCATGCATCCAAGCTGCAGCATTTTCAATTTGGGCAAATGGAGTGCTTCTCCCACAGGGATGCTTTGAGGGATTTGTTCTTTGCAAATTGTGATTATGAACTGACCTGATCCGAATCTCCCAGGCTAAGGTGTGAACTGGAATGCCATTGTCCTTCAGATTTCACACTTGGGATGTGGTTCCTGACTCAAAAAAACAACAACACAAAAGGTACAAATATGTTCACAAGCATGCATATTTTAGGGCAAAGTATGTTCAGCAATGCAAATTTAGTGAGAAAATACTTTCTCAAGAATACATACAGTGGTACCTCGGGTTAAGTACTTAATTCATTCCGGAGGTCCGTACTTAACCTGAAACTGTTCTTAACCTGAAGCACCACTTTAGCTAATGGGGCCTCCTGCTGCTGCCACCGCGCTGCCGGAGCCCGATTTCTGTTCCCATCCTGAAGCAAAGTTCTTAACCTGAAGCACTATTTCTGGGTTAGCGGAGTGTGTAACCTGAAGCGTATGTAACCTGAAGCATATGTAACCCGAGGTACCACTGTATTTAAATCTGAATTTCAATACAAGCAATTTTTTATTATTAAAAAATGCAGATTAATGGAGAAACAAGATGGAACAGATTTCTGACTGGACAGACGTGAAACTGACTGGACCAGAAATAAACAGAGTCACTGCTTTTTTCAGGGGGTACTCGGATACGCAGTAACTGCACCTCTTTTTTGTTGTTGTTAAAACATGTGGCACTTACTGTAACAACTCCATGGTGAGTACCGGCACCAATTTTTCTAGGAAAAAAGCACTGAACAGAGCCATCCATTTCCTACACCCGGAGACTGCATGTATTGCTATTAGGGGCTTCTGGTCCAAGATGTGTCTGACTATTTCAAATCAATATGCAACAGGAGCCTTTTATTATGTCCAAAATTCTTGGTTATGTACAGGCTTTTCTGTACATACTATCTCTTTCAGCTACTTTTGATTTATTTGGCTTCCTCCTCCCTCCCTTTTCCGCCTGCTATCTCTAGGACAGGGCCGAGGCCTTTCCTGGACTACAACTTTAAGAACTGTATGAAATGCAGGAATTCAGCACAAGAAGTTTTTCTGGGCACAGAAACACAGCAATAGGGAACGCCTCAAGGGATGGTTTTTCTGCCTCTTGTTAATGCTTCAAAGGTGTAGAGCCCTGCAAGTGCGGTGGGTGGGAATCCGACAAATCAAAAACATACCTGCACATAGGCGAATATTGCAGAGAAACTAGAAAAACTCGTTCTGACTATATCTGTAAGCGAATTATGTTGTGTATTTTTAGTAACTTACAGGGTAAGAGCATTGTTGTTACTCGTGAGAAACTAGGCTGGGGGGGATGAAGTGGGGAAGGGCGTTCCTCTCCCCCCCCCCACTTTAAACTCTGCTCAGAATCTTGAAAATCGCTAAAGAACAAGTTAAAAGTGGGAGAAAAGAACATAAAAAAGGTGTGGTATTTGCCGAAAGAGCCAAGTGAGCGATTTCAACAGCCAAGTTAAATATGATGCAGTCAAGGCTGACATGCACTTCCTTTCAGAGCTCCCAAGTGTAGGGCTGTGAATTCCGAGAGGAAAATACGCAACCTCATCCCACTCTGCGCCTCCCCAGCCAACCATTCCTTGTTTGCCTTGGCCGAGTCTGGGGCTAGCCTTTCACTCACTGGTCTGGTTTCGAGGACAATTGCCTCTCTGCAACGGATATCATTCTCCAGCTCTCAGCTTGGTTGCCTGTGAATGGAGCATTTATTTTCATTGACTCACAGGACTGAACGGATGCCGAGAATATATCTGAGGACTTCTACAAACGAGTGGAAAAGCACACAGCCTTTACCAGGCACAGAACCCACTGGCCTGCGTTCTCTTTCAAGCCAGCAGTGTTCCTCCTCTTTTGCAGCAGAGGAGCTAATGCAGAGCTCGGGGATGGGTGGGTAATATAAGCTGGGTAAGGGTCTTATTACGTGCAGGGCTCCCGAGGATTTAGAAAATGAGCTGAAGACAAAAGTGAAACATCTGGTTAGCATCATTGTGTAGCTGAGCAGCTGATTTGGGGAGGCTTGCTAGAAACCATGGCTGTTTCATCTTACAGATGCCATGTAATCAGGCTGCACAAAGGACTCTGAAAATATATGGATCTGAACATCTGGGGCTGTTTTCCTTGCACTGCTCCCTTTCCTAGCAAAAACCCGTTTTGTCTTTCATTAAAGGGGAGCTGTCTGTTCACGAGACATAGGAACCTGCCTTCTACCAGGCTAAACTATAATTGCCCATTCAGTCCAGTATGGTCTATCCCAGGGGTCAGCAAACTTACCGCGCCTCAGGCCGGTGTCTCCAGCGCTGATCACGCGGTGGGCCGGAGGGCGGGGGAGCGCGTGCCCATACATGTGTGCACACGCTATTTCCGGCGCACTTCCGGGTCGGAGTAGCACCGAAAATAGCTTGTGCGCATGTGCACGGGTCTCCTCCAACCCGGATGTGCACTGGAAATAACGCTTGCACATGCGCAAATAACGCTTGTGCATGCGCAAATAATGCTTGCGCATGCGCACAAGCTATTTCCGGTGCTCCTCCGACCTGGGAATGGGCAGCCACGCAGTGCAGTGTCAGTATGAGTGGGCGGCGGCAGCAGGCGGCGGGGGTCACCGCGGGCCGGATAAACGAGTCCCGGATAAACTAAGGCCTGCGGGCCTTAGTTTGGGGACCCCTGGTCTATCCTGACTGGCAGTGGCTCACTCTCCTGGGTCTCAGGCAGTCCTGGGATAGCTCAGTCAGTAGAGCACGAGACTCTTAATCTCAGGGTCGTGGGTTCAAGCCCCACATTGGGTGAAAGATTCCTGCATTGGAGGGGGTTGGAGTAGATGACTCTTGTGGTTCCTTCCAACTCTACAATTCTATGACTTTCCCATCTCCTGCTACCCAGTCCTATTGTTTAACTGGAGATGTCCAGACTGAATCCAGGGCCTTCTGCAAAGCATGTCCTCTGCTTCTGAGCTATGGTCATTTCTTCTTTAGTTGCAGCAAAAAGTAAAGATGTGTCATAAATTAAATAGCACCAATAGGCACACACACATATTCTCTCTGTCTCTGAATATTCCACCCTATATTGCGGTTTCTAATGAAGTGCATTGTGCACAGGTAGGAGGAGGGTGGAGGGAGGATGTTTGGTGATGTCAGGAGCTGCTGGAATGTGTGTGTGTGTGTGTGTGTTGCAGTCTTCTTGGTGACTTCGCCCACCCAGGCTCTCCTAATCTAAGAGAGGTATCAAAGACTTCCTTTGCCAGCTATGCCTTGCTTGAGCAACATGGTCTGCCTGAGCTCTTGCATGTTTTGAGTTTCTGGTGTTCCTCCTTTGGCCTGACTCCTGGCCTGTTCTTCTCTGGTCCTGCCCCCCTTTAGTCCTAATTGTTCTTTGGTTCTCTTTCAGAGTTCAGAGCTCATCCACACCCAGTGCTGAGTGGTCTGCTAGGGTTCCTGGGACACAGCCCTCCCAAGGAGAAGGCCATGCAATTCTTTTAAAAAAAAAAAATCTCGGAGTGGGACACTTTCTGTCCCCACACATTTTATACTTCTACTTGAACTCAGAGAAGTTCTGCAAACATTTCTGTTCTCTGGTGGATCAGGTCTCTGCAACACTTAAAAGGTAAAGGTACCCGTGACCGTTAGGTCCAGTCACGGACGACTCTGGGGTTGCAGTGCTCATCTTGCTCTATAGGCCAAGGGAGTTGGCATTTGTCCGCAGACAGTTTTTCCGGGTCATGTGGCCAGCATGACTAAGCCACTTCTGGCAAACCAGAGCAGCGCACGGAAACACCGTTTACCTTCCTGCCAGAGTGGTACCTATTTATCTACTTGCACTTTGATGTGCTTTCGAACTGCTAGGTTGGCAGGAGCAGGGACCCAGCAACGGGAACTCACCCTGTCGCAGGGATTCGAACCGCCGACCTTCTGATCAGCAAGGCCTAGGCTCTGTGGTTTAGACCACAGCGCCACCTGCGTCACTTAGCTCATCCTAATCCAGGCATAGGCAAACTCGGCCCTCCAGATGTTTTGGGACTACAACTCCCATCATCCCTGACCACTGGTCCTGTTAGCTAGGGATAGTCCCAAAACATCTGGAAGGCCGAGTTTGCCTATGCCTGTCTTAATCCAAACTCACTGAGGGTTTGAGACCCATTGGTTACCCTCAGCTGGTTTAGCTGCCCAGTTGAAGCTGCTTCCCGGGGCCCAGCCCCTGTCACATGCTGACAGTCTCTAGGAGCCACAGGTGAGTGCTAAGTGCAGGGTAGGGACCAAAGATGGACAACCTACCCCAGAAGAAACACAGTGTGGCCCCCACCAGAGGTCCGACCCCTTCCCTAACACCCCATACACCCAATGGGAGTTGCAGCTTAACAACATCTGGAGGGGGGCACAGATTCCCCACTCTTATAGGATCCAGTTTTTTGTTTAAAGGTCCTGAAGGACCTCAGTGTCCACACAGCAGGGACCAGTCACTCGATAAGTAACTCCAATATTTGCCAAAAGAACAAATTCAAAATTAGATTTGGACCAAGTTCTAGTATATATATAAAAAACACATATAGACAGAAAGGACAGCATGTTGCACACACGCTTCCAGAGAAGCTTGTACGTGATTTGGAGGAAACCTCTCATTGCTATGTGGAGCAGCGAAACAGAAGGGTGGGAGGGAATGCACAGCACATGAAAGCTGTCCTGATGGGAATGATTCCAGACAAAACAAAAAGGCTGCCATTTTACACACACGCAGAGGTCCCCGCTATGTGGGACGGGGATAGATGCTTGATGAGTGGGCACTTTCGGTTCCTTAGCGCATTGCTTAGAAACTGGATGGTCTAATAGCTAAATCAAGGATTTTGAGTTGGGTTATATATCTTGCCCGAACCACAAGTCTTACAGGGCGAGTCTCAGCCTCTCAACTTGACAAAACACCGCAGTCAGCTGGCCGGCTACCTTAGGGGAGTGAGGCAAAATGAATGCCTCCTTCATTTAGCACACAGTGAGTGCCAGACTCAAGAACAGGGAAACAGGGAATTTCACAAGTTGCACTGCTATATTCATATGAGAGGCGGCATATTAGAACTATAGAACTGCAGAGCTGGAAGAGACCCCAAGGGTCATCGAGTCCAACCCCCTGGGATGCAAGAATCTCAAGCAGATCATACATGACAGATGGCCATCCAATCTCTGCTGAAAAACCTCCATGGAAGGAGAGTCCATCACTTCCCAAGGAAGTCCATTCCACTGTCAAACAACTTCTACTGATTTTTTTAAAAAGAAGTCCTCATGGAAATTCACCATCATTTTAGGGCAAATTTCTCCACTTTGTGGATTACAATTTTTCATTGTTGCAAAGCAATTTCCCCCAATACAATGCATTTTGCATATTTCCTCTCCCTCTAATAAATGCATTTATATGCACACATTGCCCTAGTATATGCATTTGCTTGGCTGGAGAACTCAGAGGAGTGTGTATTTTGAAGGAGGTTTGCGTTCTGGTTTGCGTGTTATTTCAGAATGTGCAAATTAGGCACACGTCTAAATGCAAACTTGAATCACATTTCTCTGCAGTCCGTAACAGCGTATACAGGACTGTGAATGTGCAAGGTTGCTTCTGACTACTTTTACCTCTAGAAAGATGTAACGGAGAATAAAACACTGGAAATGAAACATGATGATCAGTATGAAAGTAAGTGTGTGTGTGTGTGTGTGTGTGTGTGTGTGTGATCCAGGTGTTCCTCCCTGTACAAAGCCAACTGCATGAGAGGCCAGACTGGAAGAATAATCCCTGACCTCATCCTCTCTGTTGTGTCACTACCTCTGACTTTGTGTATTTGAATAGAACAGAGATGCCCAACACCCCCCAATGCAGCAAGAGCGCGAAGAGCTAGTGTTTATTTTAAACCAGATTATTGATTTGTTAAGGGATATGCTTTTTATCTTAGGGTCTTTGAATTTCTAAGCACTTGCATATAGTGACAAAATAAAAGTCAACAATGCTCCAGTGCGATCAATCAATGGTCCCTGGAAGAGTGTCCCTGGGGACACAGGCAGCAGCATCAGATCTCCTCCAAGGATAGAGATGGAAGCCTGACCTTGGAGAGGAAGGTCTGATGCCAGATTCCCTTTCTCCAGGACCACAGAGGCTTCCACTTCCCTTGCCTTGCCTTACCAGCAACAGAACAGCCCAAATGGGGCCTGGCTGGGTAGACCAGGGACCATGTCACCAGCCTAAAACACAGCTAGGTTAGCGACTTCTCCTGCATGTGAAGAAAGGCTCTGGCAGATTGAGCAGATGAGACTGATAGTGGGTCCCACAGTCAAGAAAGCAGTTGTACCTCTGGTTAAGAACCTAATTCGTACCGGAGGTCCGTTCTTAACCTGAAACTGTTCTTAACCTGAGGTACCACTTTAGCTAATGGGGCCTCCCACTGCCACTGCACAATTTCTGTTCTCATCCTGAAGTAAAGTTCTTAACGTGAGGTACTACTTCCGGGTTAGTGGAGTCTGTAACCCGAAGCGTTTGTAACCCAAGGTACCACTGTACTGCATGTGTTATAGAGGGAAGTGAGGGGCAGCTGGGGCTTGTCTTCCTGGGAAGGTAGCCCATCTAGGAAAAGGAAATCTCTGATCCTAAACTCCCACTGCCTTGTGGGATATCTTTGGGAAGAGAAAAGGCTAGGGAGTCAACCCCTACACAAATTGGGAGTAGAGTCCCTAAGGCAGTTGGATGGTGCCTTGTACGCCTCCTTCCAGCAACTCCCGCAGCCAAGCTGGTGCCAAACGTATGGCTCGGCTTTCCTTTGGACCACATCAGCGAGGTTGGGGGGGAGTGTCTTTTCATCTGGGCAGCCCAGGACCTCCATACACACTTCCCAGGCTTGCGCCCCAGGGAGGTCACTTCGGTGCTGCTAACACAGAGGTTTGACTTCACTGACCTGGAGGTGCACCGCATTGTCTCTCGAGACAGACAGATGTCAACATCAACTCTCATCATCCCTGACCACTGGAAATGCTGGCTGAGGCTAATGGGAGTTGGAGTTCTACATCATCTGGAACAGAACGCAGGTTCCGTTCTCTTACTATAGTGTTTTGGAATTGTGGCCCAGGGCACACGTAATGCTAAACCATGGCTTGCAGTGAGCCTGAACAAAACCTCAGGTTTGTGATCTCCCTCCTCTCCGCCCACAGGGCCAGGAGACTCGCCCTATTTTTTTTTTGTAGATTGTTTTAACCTTGTATTTTTATATTGTTGCAACCTGCCCCCGGGACATTGCAGTGAAGGTCAGAAATCCGACAGTATTAACAATACTCCTCACACCTTGTTCCCGCTGAGTTACCGTGCTTTAACACACAGCGTTCCTAATGTGATGCATGCCTTCTTCTCAAATCTTAATATCTATGCAAGTAAAGAAATTCTTGGGAGTATTATTTTGCATAACAATAGCATTTTATTACCCTTCCCATCTAAAATAATGCAGGGTAATAAGTACTGGGAATTTGAGGCATTATCCCTTGAAAATAAGTGCTTCAGGCATTTGATCTTTAGACATGATTACATAATACGATGCAGAATGAGTGTTCGGAACAACTATTAATATTAATCTTAGCGCCTACACAGTGTTTTTCTCACATCTTCAAAGTGCTTTCCTTCCATTAGCTATAAGCCTTACAATACTTTTGGGACAGTCCCTGGTAAATAAGTAAATATTATTGCCATTATATTGATGAGACAACAGAGCCAGTAAGGCTGCACGATGTGCCCAAAGCCAGCAAACAGAGACACCACTCACTTGAAGCAAGATCGGTA